ACTACTACGAACACCTTGTATACTCTGCATCTATATGCACCCCTTGCATATCTTCTCTACTAATATGCACCCTTGCATACCCCTGCATGCATATGCACTCCTTGCATACCTTCTCTACTAATATGCACCCCCTTGCATACCCTGCATCTATATGCACTCCTTGCATACCTACTGCATAAATATGCACTCCTTGTATACACCCTGCATAAATATGCACTCCTTGCATACCTCCTGCATAAATATGCGCCCCTTGCATAATTATATATGCATATGCACCCTTGCATAATTTAGCATGCATATGCACCCCTTGCATACCCCTTGCATATTTTAGGTTACACGGCTTATAAGCCCATTTAAGCCAGATTTTTTTGAACACTAATGATAAGTATAGATCGTTAGGTTTATAAGCTTCTTATAAGAAAGTTTTTTATAAAATTCTGCTACATGAAGATTATAGTTTATATTTAATTTAATCCATGAAATTACCTCTTGAGCTTATGATATGTTGGTTGCTTGTGAGCTATTAGATGTTTAACTGATAATGTGATTTTTTTTAGAGAAATATTAATTTTTATTGTGATACTTCCACTACAAGAGAATCAATCAATAGCTGGCTGTAATTCACTAATACATTTAGTAGATTGATTATTAGGACTTTTATGTTGATGCTTAATTTTTTGAGAACAGATCAAATAAGCAGTAGCACATCCGGTTGGTTGGTTATTTTTTTTATTTTCATAAAGATTTTTTGATTTTCAATAGTAACATGACCCAGCTTTAATTAAAATAAATAAAGCATTTATAATGAAATAGAAACTTTGACTATTGGCATTATTTGAATTTATTTTATTTAATAAAGCTTCTTTAATAAATTCACTATTTAGTTCAATTATAGCTAAAAATTCAATGTGCTCATTCTCTTCATTATTTACAAAATATGTTGTTACAAGTTCTTCAAGGTTACCAATTTCGTAGATAAGGCTTTCACCTCTGTCATCATCAATTTCTATCAGCATGCTTGAATCAAGGTCACTCTCAGGCATTAAATAGCTTACTTCATCTTCTTGTACTATACGTTCATTAATCTGATTTCTACTTGTTGAACTTTGTTTCTTTTGCTCAGAACAATAATTACAAATTCTGAATGAGCACATTGAATTTTTAGCTATAATTGAAC